GTATTTCACCACAAGACAACCCGATATATCGGTAGCTACCATAATGTCTCTTTCCTTGAAATAGTTGAGTATACCTTCATACACAATAGTATCAAACATAACAAAATAGTATAAAATCATTAAAGAGAATGAAAGTATTACAGGACATTCAGAACAAAATAACAGAAAATGCAAAATGGTTACTATATTATCCCTTTGTCCATAAAAGATTTGTTTATACTATCACATAATAAAATCCAGTAAGATATAACAGGATAGAACCAGTGGAAACAGAAGAACAAAACTACGTAGGACTTCAAAACAAAATGATATTAAATCAGCACTGGCTATTATAATGTCTTGTTTTCTTCAGAATAGCTGTTCATACCATCACAAATAATAAAATCAAACAACCCAGGATAAAACCATTCCAACTAATGAATGGTAACATTATAAGGCTCCAAAGCAATGTAATGGGGAATCATGATTACCATAAACTCTTATGTACTCTTACCATTTCTTACACTAGTGAGACTATATGGTATTTATACATGTGAGTTTGGTTTATTTTGCTTATGAGTATGGTCTCAAGTTGCATCCATTTATTTATAAATATCTCAATGTGATCATTCTTTATAGCTGAGTAGTACTCCATTGTATAAAAAAAATGCCACCACTTTTTTATCCATTCCTCAGTTGATGGACACTTAGGTTGTTTCCAAGATCTGGCTGTTACAAATTGTGCTGCTATAAACATGAGTGCACATATATCACTGTGGTATGATATTTTCAGTTCTTCTGGGTATATGCCTAGAAGCAGAATAACTGAATCAAATGGGACTTCCAATCCCAGCTTTTTGAGAATTCTCCAGACTAACCTCCACAATGGTTGCACCAGTCTACACTCTCACCAACAGTGCAGGAGAGTTCCTTTTTCCCCACAGCCTCTCCAGCATTTGTTGTTGTTGGTTTTCTTGATCCTGGCCATTCTTTCTGGAGTGAGATGGAATCTTGGTGTGGTTTTAATTTGCATTTCTCTAATGAGTAATGATGGTGAACATTATTTCATGTATTTATTTGCCATTTGTATTTATTCATTTGAGAACTGTGTATTCATCTCAGATGCCCATTTTTGGATTGGGTCTTTGAATTTTGGGGGTCTGACTTTTTTAATTCTTTATATGTTTTAGACAGAAGTCCTTTGTCTGAGGGACAGTAGACTAAGATTTTTTCCCAGTTTGTGGGTTTTCTTTTCACTATGCTGGAGATTTCTTTTAACGTGCAGAAACTTTTTAATAAGATGTTATCCCAGATTGTTTAAAAATAAATTCAAAATTGGTTATGTTCGTACAGTAAGAAAGAGAAACTGAAAATCTTCACTTTTATTCAGTAGTTCTATAGTCGTGGAAGTATTTTAGAATTTTACATAGGGCATGGCATCAGAAGTTGATTTAAAATTTCATTATGTGTGAACTTAATCTTTTTATTAAATATTGTAGGTCACTGTTTTGATTGAACTAGTGTCTGTTTCTAATTATGTTGTCTAAATTCACAGCCACATTTTTGTACTGTTTCATTCATTCATATATGTATATTGACACACGCAGTATGTACCACACAAATTTTGAGCCATAGGGATACTTTGCTGAACAAAACAAATGAATAAACTGATCATCTAGGGAGCCTACATTCTGGCAGAAGCAGGGGGAGAAGACAATGAAAAAAGATACGTAAGATATATGGTGACAGAGGTAAACAGATAAATTACACATGATGATAGTGATATGTTGTAAAGAGAAGATTCATTGAAGTAAAAAAATTTAGTTGGGATGAGAAGACAGATATTGGGCATTGTGTTGGATGACCATAATAAATCTCACTGAAAAGTTAACTTTGATAAAAGACTGGAAGGCAGTAAGCGAGCTATAATTCATAGCTTCTAAGGAATCAAGTGGCAAAACAGCAGATCCTGAAGAGGGAGTAAAAGGTGATCTGAAAATGCAGTGAATATCTAAAAATTTTGTTACAATAAGAGACATACTGCTATTAATCCCCTCTCAAAATACTTTCCCTCCTTTTAGGCACACTAATTCCTTAGATCTTGACACTTTCTTAAGCAGTTTTGGAAGTCCTTTTTCTGAAAATTTTAGTTGTGCCATCATGATTGCCTTGGTGATGTGAATTGATTCAGAACATTTACCTTTTATATCACTTTGAGTTTGAGGAAGTGTCAGAAGTTATACAGTACCAGATTTGGTCAGTGAGGTAGATAAGGGCATGCTGTGTGTTTTTATGTTCCTACCTTTCTGTTAGATGGACTCCTCAGTAGCATTCACTATTTTTTTTATCATGTTTCTTAAATATATTCCTGAATGATGATATAACTGCTGTTAGACTTAAGGACAGATAAGGGAAGAAGGAAAATATTGGACTAAAATATGATTTTTTTCTGGTCTTTTTGAGACAAGGTCTCACTATGAATTTCAGGCTGGCCTTGGGCTGACTTTGTGGTGCAGGCTGGTCTCAAACTTGCAAAGATGCTCCTGCCTCAGCCTCTTGCATTCTGGGATTGCAAGTATGTGCCACCACACCTGGCATGTGGTTGTGTTTATTACTTATTACATGTTACACTTCTGTCTTGTATATATTTTTGTATGTCATTTCTTAATCAGTTTCATGTAAGAATGCCTTTCAGGATAAATGTGCTATTCACAAATAAATATTAGATTTTGAGAAAATGAAACTTACATTTGCATTCTTGAAAATGCTTGTTTTTGCATATCCTGATTTGGAATAATTTTGAAGGATTTATTGTTTGTGTGGTAATTGAGAGTGTATGATGTGCCATATTCTAGGAAAAGTGGCTTGAAAATTAATGCCTAGTGATCATACTTACTCATGAGGAGGCCCCAAGATCATCTCTGTTTCACTAGTGAATAAACTGAGAGTGAGATCTTGCTTAGAAATACATTAATATTTCCATGTGCAATATTTTTAAACATCAGAGCTGATGTATCACAGCTGGCCTAGTGACTTTGAAAAAAGTTCTGTAGGAACTTGTTAACAATTATCTTGAATTTTCTGTAACCATATCTAATTAATATTGCCTTGTGTTAATTGTATATTCATAAATGGTGAAGTAAGCATAATCTCCTTACTGCATCTTAGACTCTGTCTCTTTAATTGCATCTTTGTTTCTCAAATGATAAAAAGGAAATTTTTTTAAAAAAGTTGTATGTAAATTAAGTTCTGGTAAACTGAGCCTTATTTTATATTATAATAAAAGAACTTTCAGTCTTTAACCATTTACTCAGAAAATAATCTCCTAGTTATTGAAAATTGTGTCAAATATAAACAGGTTTGAAAGTTCCAAGTTTACAAAATTTTTAATTGATGCAGCATAGTTGTGCAGTATAATTCAGTGATTATATCAGTGTAATTACCCTTTTTATCTCTCTAAATCTCTCTCTCTCTCTCTCTCTCTCTCTCTCTCTGTCTCTGTGTCTGTCTGTCTGTCTGTCTGTCTGTCTGTCTCTCTCTCTCTCTCTCTGTGATGGGAGCCTTGTAACTCATTTCTTCTGGTTCAAAATTTATAGTAAGTTGTGGTGAAGTATAATCATCTTACTGTGCTACAGTACTTTTTCCTCTTAGGTAAAACTATTTTGGTACCTGTTAGCCAATGTCCCATTTTCCATCCTTCTCTCCTTCCTACCGTGTTCTATTCTTTCTAGATGTCTAGTCTGCCTTCTAGTTCTATGAGATAAGAAGGTTCTATTTTTAAATTTTCTTAAAATGATACGTATCCATATCTGTACCCACATATTTCCTGTGGTAGGTACAGGTGAAATCTTCGTGAATAATCAGTTGGAAATTTTTATTACATTGCATTGCAATGCTTCTTGCATTGAAAAGTTTTCCCAATGAAGTATTTTTTTTATTTTTCTATTTATTGATACCAATTCATTACATGATAACCTACCCACTGTCATATCTTAATATGAAGACAGAGGAAAGGTGTCTTGACTGCATCCAGGGAATGTTGCTTTCATACCTGGTGATAAGAAAAATGCTAAGATTTGAGCATGTGGGTATTTTAAGATTTGTCACTGGGGCATTTTATTTCTTTATCAGAAGTATATGAATGAATTTTTTGGTAACATTAATGAAAATTTCAGTATATAAGAGCAACTAATACTATATTAATATGTGTCTTGATTACTTTTCTCTCCTTTTTGGGACAAAATACCTGACACCCAAAATTAAGGAAGGAAAACTTTTTTTGGTTCACAGTTTATAGAGCTTTCAGTTCATGCATAATCAGCTGGCTCCAAGGCAGGGTGGCATGGCACAGGGCTAACACTTAAAGGCAGCAGAAAATGGCAAAAGCAGGAAGAGCAAATGGGGGCGGAGAACAAGCCTCTTTTCGTCCCTTATATTGTAAGAAGTCTACTACGCCCTAAGGCCTGTGTAGCACTCACAGGATCTCCCTGCCCTCTTTTTGCATAAGATGAAGATATTTACAAAATGGCCCCCTGCCAAGTTGCTTCATTAAACTTCTAAACTTAAGTTGAAACAATGTATCTAATATTACAATATATAAGATAAATCATCAGAATATTGTATTAGACTACACACTTATAATATTTTTGATACTGAAAATTTTGTCTAATAGAACATTTCTTCTTCCCTACCATCAATATGTCCCATGCTTTGTTTTTGGCATGCTTATAATTTTAACTCAAGGCCTTTGAGTTTCTTTTTTCTTTTTACTCTCTTAACAGTTTGAATTATGTTTACTTTTATGCAAATTATTTTTTGCCAAAAGGTAGATTTTAGTATTTATATATTTCTCTCTATATATTTCTTTTTTGCCCCTTAGTTATTTTTAAGTGTATAGTTCAGTACTGTTGAGCATGTTGTCCAATGATAGTTTTCATTAAGTAGAACTTACTTTACAAAGAATGTAGTCTTTCTAAAGCAGTCTCTTCATATTTATGTTCCTTTTATTTTCATCTTTTCAGAATCTGTATCGATTTGAGGGCACTGGATTTTCAAGCATCCCTCAACTCATAGATCATCACTATACAACAAAACAAGTCATCACTAAGAAATCAGGTGTAGTTCTCCTGAATCCTGTTCCTAAGGTAGGTGCATAAATATATAAGTTTTTACTTTTTTGAATTAATATTTCCCACTTTAAATAGAGTTTTTAGATCATATGCTAGAAAGTCAGAAACAAAAAGATTTTGTGAATGCTACTACTACCAATACAAATGAAGTGTGCATCTTTAGTTTTATTAAGATCGCCTTTCAATTCATTATTTACAAGGATATAAACAATCTGATTTTTGTCTTTGTTTCCCAGTTTTTCTTAAAAGATTTGAAGCCTTTCTTTACTTTCAGTGGGTTCCTAATAAAATATAGAAGTAAAAGAGTATAGCAATTAGGAGTAAAGTAGAATTTTAATTTTGAAAACTACAATTTTCTTTTTTTTAAATTTTATTTAAGGAGAAAAAAAAAGCAGAGAAAGGGTACAAGTTATACAGATTTACAGAAAAAATAAACAGTAGGAAATCACTAGTTAATGGATTACATATTGTCATCTTAGAAATAATTGTTCAAGTCACAAAATTAAAGCTTGTAAAGTGGACATTCCAACAGTGAGACTGCAAACAGTTCTGTTCAATGATCCAACTAAACTCAGTGATATCATTATCTATCTTATACACTTATATATACATGCAGTTATATCGTTTAGAACACTTTCTTTTCCTCTCTTTTGTACAATGACAATTACCCATTTTGGGTTTTGTTGCTCCCACAGTTCTTATTACTTTTTGGGAAGGGAGTAGAACCAATTGTGACATAACAGAACAGAGTCAATCAAATCAAAAGGGTGGACATAATAGATAATGTAAAAGCATAATACAAGGTGATCAACAATGGTTACCATAATGCCTCCCGCCATCTCTAATAGAATTGCCTATATCATCAGTTATAATAAAATTGAACAAAACAGTAAAGAACAAAACCGACAAAACCAAAACATTGGAGACATTATAGGTCTTCAAAAGTAGATAATAGTCAACGAGAATGGGCGTCATAATGAATCTCACTATCTTCACAGCTGTTGCTTAAACTTTCGAACCTGGTGCTATCAAGCAAAACAGAATAGGGGGACATCAGTCAAAAACAAGATGGTGAGAGTGATACAGGGCTTTAAATCAAGATAATGGAAAGTCAAAGTGGGTTACTATAATATATCCTGCTACTTTTTATTTATTTTTCCCTTAATTAAAAGGATAACAATAAAAAAGTAAATAATGAAGTAGAGATTGAGATAAAAGAGGGCATAACAGCAAAACAGCGCAGATCAAAACATAACCATTTAAGCAGAATAGTGTTTCACCACAAGATAATCCTGACATAAAAGTAGTTACCATATTGTCTCTTTCCTTGAAATCTTTTGAGTATAACTTCGTATACTGTAGCATCAAATATATCAAAACAATGTAAAACCATTTAAGAGAATGACAGCATTACAGGGTATTTAGAATCAACCAATGGAAAATGAACAATGGTTTCTGTATAATCTCCTTGTCTTTAAAAGTTTTTGCTTATACTATCATACATAATAAAATCCAATGAGATACAACCTGTTTAGACCAATGGAGACAGAAGAACAAAAGCTTGATGAGACTTCAAAACAAGATGATACTAAATCAGTATTACCTATTAAGACGTCATTTTCTCCAAAATAGCTGTTCCTATCATCCAATCTTCTCTGCCTCATTTCTCTTGAGCTCTTTTTCTGTCATTAGTTGTCAGTTTGTCGTCTTCATTTTGTTTTCTGCTCCATTCATTGTGGCCTCTTTGCCACTATTTCTGGATTCTTTGTATTTTTCTTTTTTAGAATATCCTGTAGTATTCTCTGTAGAGTTGAATTGGTGGTTGCATATTCCCCTAGTTCCTCTTTATCCTGGAAGCACCTACAATTTTCAATGTATTGCAAGATATTTCAAGTTTAAAAACTGTATTACTTTTTTCAAATCGTAACTTCTCTATGTGGGGCCAAGTATCTAGATGAGAGATAATTTTCAAGTAATTTTTATTTCCAAACTCTATCACAGAATACATTATTTCCTGTGCTTTATGGGATAAGGTATGGCTATGAGAAAAGTTTATGTTTTTAAGACAAGACCTGTGGGGTCTAAAGCAAAGTAAAACAGTCGAGCTGCCTTAGTATCTGAGCATTTTCGCTGTTTGAGGAATTGAGTTGGGGTGAACAGGGGTTTTTCCTTAGATAGCTGTCTTGATGTGAAGAGCAGAGAAGAAACAAGGCAGTCATAAAATTGGATAGGTAATATTTATTGATTTGATGTTTGATCCACAAATGACTGTTAATTTGAAATGTTAATCTTGAGAAAGCTGGTGTATAATCTAGATATAGGTAACTGAATGTTAAGAAATTATTGTTTGCCTTGTGACTAGAAATGGATGTCCTTATTTGTATGAGTCTTCACTCAGGGGCTGAAGTGAATAGTCCTCTCACTGAAGATTTTGACAGACAGGCAGTTGCTCAACATTTTAATTCTGTAGCTAAGGATTTGGCCTTCTTGTATTACCTTTTATGTTATAAAATTGGTTCATTTTTTGTTAAGATTTCTCCATTCATTTTTCTATTTTAGTTATAGAAAATTACACAAAATTTTTCTGTTTTTAGTGGTTGTCACTGTTTTTGTCTCATAAAATAAGTCTTCAAATATTTCCTGTTATCTGTGAATATATGATACTGTTGTACACAATTCAACATCTTTATCCTTTTTTATTCAAAGTTATTCTCATGATTTCATTTACTACTTATACACCAAAACTTGCAAGTGTATATGTTAAAGTCAGATTTATGTTTTCCCAAACTCAGAATTTTTTTCTACTTTTTAAATGAGAGTGAGTTTATTACCTGAATTTATGCCAAAATTTGTCTCATCAGATTTCCAGTTTTTCCAAAATAATAAACCCAGGTGTCACCTTTCAGATCTCCTTTATCACTGTTGCCTCCCTTTCTAAGGCACAAGAGTTTCATATACTTAATTGTACATTTTAAAGTATAATCTTCAATTCTGTTATATTCTTGTATTAATCAAATTCAGTGAAGGAAGATACTTTTATGCATTTTAGGGTAACACATTGTACATCTAGGTTTTCACAGATACTGATGTCCCTTTTTACAAGCCAGCCAGATATTTCCACTGTCTTTACATTTAGTCAGATCTAAGTTGACATGCCAAAACCCTTACAGAGAGAAATACCATGTAGACCTGGACATGAATAGGAATATATGATATCAAGTAAAAGTATAGCCTTCACAATATAAAATTATCCATGAAATGAACCTAGATAATTGATTTGATTCTCTGACTATAATATAGTCAATTATTATCTTTCTCTACAACGTCTAACACTATGGAGTTTATTATCTTGTTCTTTTATGGCAGTAACTATGAAAATAAATGTATGTAGGAAGGTATCGAAGATTAAAGGGCTATATATAATGGTTTTATGAGGTAGGAACTCCTGACTATTAATCTGATCTTAAGTACTGGTATTTGAAATATGCAAATCATCTTCTTACTTTGATGTACATTTTGTTATGTACTTTTCACATTACTCATAAGAGGTAATCACAATACCAAGGTTGTAAAAGTTAGCTAATTTTCTATTATGAGTGAAGAACAAATTGACATGGATTTTATTATGGTGCTGTTATCTGTTAAATATCTTCCTTGAAAATTTACTTGTACTTGTATTACTGAATCCATTTATTGATTTAATTTATGTAAGAAGTTAATGTGTTTGGCCATATAAGGTGCTATAAAATATGTTTCATTTCATGCTAGACTTCATTTTTCGCTTACATAAAGAAGGTTATTTTGCTCTCAGGATATTTTTCCCCATTTGTTTCTCTTTTCATTTATTTTTTCTCTAACTATAAAAATGTAAGTGTATTGTCATAGTGCCTATGGTAGTCAAAATAGTTTTTTTCTTTTATGCATATCATTATTTACTCAGAGATAGAGAAAACAGGACCATTTTCATAGTAATAAAACTTAGGTAGATGACCAAGCCATCTAGTCTTCACCTTCCACTGACTGATTTTTCTGTGCTGCCTACCAAATTCTATGCAAATATATGGAAGGTGGGAACTACTTTTTGATAAGCAGGGGTTATTCATCAGCTGATTTCATCATCTACAAGTTAACATACAATAGACATGTGTATAGTCAGTTCTTTATTTAGTTCAGTTTCTGCTCAGTCATTAGTTTATCAGAGTCCTTCGATTCCATATCTAAAATAATCTATCCTTACTTTGTGAATATCTCTGAATGATGGCTATGTTTATCTGTGATTATATCATAGGATATATTTTTAACTTGTTTATTTCCTCCAAGTGGAATACAAGCTTCTTAAGGCAGAATTATATTGGCCAATTAATGCAACTGGATCCCTAGTACCTAGAAGAGTGATGGACCAGAGTATATATATTCAATAAACTTTTGTTGAAAGATAGAATTCATTGAGGAAATACTAGCACTTTTGAGTTCCCCTTAAGTTATCTGTTGGTGATATGCAAGGATAATATTAAAGTGTTAGCAGTTAGTATAGAATGGATACTGTCCTATTAGAACATATGCCAACCATAAACAATTAGGAGAGCCATATATGTGTTTGCTGGCTGGCTACCTTCCATGAGTGTCTGGGGAAAGAAAGTTCGTTGGTGGACTGAGGAAGCACAGAGACTTAACACGCTAGAACCATGGTCACTGGAGAGAGCGATGGGAGACGAGCATAGATTTAGTTTAACTTAATAAAGAAATATGTATTATCTTCAAAAGTCTCTTGTATAATTTAGGAAATTGACTTAATTTGTGTAGGAGCAACATTAAATTTTACAAGTTTTCATAGTGCGCCTCTATATATTTAAGATTTGTATTTAAAAATCATAGTGAATTTCAAGGAAGTTTTTACTGGTAATATTTCTATTCAGATAAGATTCAGTAATGCTATAATTTTAATTTCTAAGAACTTTTTTCCAGTAATATTATTTTTGGAGGCATTAAGGTAGCTGTACTTCTGCAATTAATTC